GATCAAAGAAGGCAGGTAACCCTGTCACTGAAAAAGGGATAGCTAATAATGTGTGATGATTTGTTGGAAGATGAAGTATCTGTATTTTGTGTGTGTGAGCAGGTGATATGTTGGACTTTATAAATATTCCATTATTGGATATAGTTTCTTTCTCTCAATACAAATGATCTGTAGTTTGCCATGTAATTTTTTAAAGTTTCTTTTGTGGTAGACTGAAGATTCTGTGGCTAAACTGAGTAATTGTGTGATGTAATCTTATTTTTTATAAAAATTTGTTAAATATATTTTGATATTTCAGTTGTTAAAACTTTATGTTTAGTAAATACTTCTTTTTTTTTCAGATATGAAGGAAGGTACCATTGGCGATATGGCAGTACTGGGTATAACAGAAAGTTTCCAAGTGAAGCGGCAAGTTCTTTTGAGTGCAGCTGAAGCAGCTGAGGTGATTCTACGTGTGGACAACATTATCAAAGCAGCACCAAGGTAGTGTGTTGTAAAACTATTTCTTAGGAAAAAAAAAAATCAATACAGAAATTAAAAATCAGCTACATTGTAATTGTACTTACTAGTATAGCTATTTTTGCCTAGAAGTGTTAAGCAAGTTACAATATGTAGTTTCTATTCCTAGATTTAAGCCAGAAAAGATTGGGTGGGGAGTGACAGAGGGTAGCTCTAAGATTGAAATGGTACATAAAAAGCCAGGCTTGGAAAGGTTAAGAACCAGATTTGAGGGCAAGGGGTTTATAGTAGTAAAAAGTGATACCCCCCAAACCTCCAGGGTGGGTCAGCTCTAGTTACTTTTCTGTCCTAGCTACACTCTTCTGTATAAACATTCTTAAGCACGTAGTATACAGTTCTCTAGGTAGCATTGAGAGACAGTTGGAAGATCTAGAGAACAAAGATCTAGAGATGTTTCTAGCTAGGAGCAAGGTGAGGGGGTGGGTGGGGAATTACATATCTTAAATGAACTAGATCACAGAGAATTTTATTTATGTAGAAAATCTTGCGTCACTCAATTCATTGACTTTCTCCTGTAAATAACAGGTTTCTGGTTACTATTTGAGAAAAAGAATAGAAAAGAATGATTTGTATGTGAGAGGAAAGACAAAAATATTCCATCCATAGATGAGATATTTCAGTCTATGGGGGTATAGTGGAAAGAAGACAGAAAAAATAGATTCTGTGCTTCTGGTGTTGGTGATAGTAATGTTTAGTAAATACTAAACATTCTTCATATTTTGAAATGGAAAATTGGTAAGGGAAGGAAAAGACACATTGTTGGGAAGCAGTGTGGTTACCAAAGATTTAAGTGTTGTTATATTTTGCATTGTCTTTAAACAGAATAAAGCACAAAGGAACAGTTTATAAAGTTCTCTGACTCGGCAAAGGACATATATATCTATCCAGCCTCAGAAATCATCTTAGTGACTCAGGGACCTCAACCTCCTTTGAAATATACATTATAATAGCTCATTTGATCTGATAGAACTGTTTCAGAGGCCTAGATGTCTGAAATATGTATGAAATTCTGAGTATGTCGCTGTGAAGAAACAGGAGTAATTTTATTTAACTGAGCCTTTCCAGTATACTGGGCTGTGGACTTCTTTTCATACTTGTTAAACTAGCCTCCAGGAGACTTGTTTTTCAGATGAGTGCCTGTGGTAGATGCTTGATCACCTTTTCTATATCAGTATCCTTTAGCACCCATCAGACATATTCCCATAAGCTACTGAGAATGCTGTGCATGTCTGTTTTCTGTGCTTCTCGTAAATATTGTACTTATCTCTAGAAGCAATGTTTCTTGAGTCTTTAGCTCCTCAAATAGTCATTAAGTGAAACTTTTCACTAGTATTTGTCCCGTGCTCCCTTCCCGAGAGATTCATGGTATGATCACCAGAGAATAAAAGTTTAAAATCTAAGATGTTAGAGGTGTACCATTGACAGTATTCGGTGAATTACCCTGTTCTGCCACAAGGTTATCTATTGCCATTTATTTTCATTCCTACAGAAAGTGATCCAGGGATTTTCATCCTGGTATCCCAGAGCCTTGTCATTTTATAACATCTGATTAAAAGTTACTGTATCTGACTAATGAGTAAAATTAGTTTGAAAACATGAATTTCTGGAGAACATTTAAATAGGTTGTTTGGTTGAAAAATGCCAAATATCTAGGTCATTATACAAATTGAGGGATGTTAGTTATGAGGGAGGAGCATATAATTCTTTGTGATAATTAAGTTACACTCTTTTTAATAAATAAAATTGGGGTTTTAGCTGCGGTGTATTTACTATAAATTGCTCTTCGTGTATATCATTGATGACTTTTTTATGTGCATGTTTTTGTAATTGTTGCAGGAAACGTGTCCCTGACCACCACCCCTGTTAAGCATTCCCTTGTGGTGTTGAGCTCTGGACCAGTCATAGCAAAGTTGTATTTGAAAGACTTTGACTTCTAGAAGAAGACTGTGGGGTTTATTTGTGGCTGTTATACCACTAAGTTTGGACATTTAACTGACCTTCTACTTTAACATGGGTCTAATTTATTTGTTTTCATTTTCCATAAAATTCAGTTGGTTTAAAACTTAATTTCAAATACTGTACATCAGAATAAAAAATTTGAACAACTACTTAGTAGTTCTTCCCTGTTTTAGTGATCTATACCCTTTTTTAATTCTACTTAATGGGAGTGAGTGATCATGCTTTCAATATGGATTTGTCAGTATAAATTTTCAGTCTTACTTATTTTTGAAATAATGTCTTGGATTAAATTAAATCCAAATCAAGTGTGATAAGTATACTATACATTCATCTTGGGGTTTTCAGTCATACATAACCTTTTTAAACAACTTAATTTTAATGAAAGTACCATCAATTTTATTACTCAGGACTTCTTAAGATTGTGAGAAAAATCTTAAGATTTTACGTCTTGGACTCCAACATTTTTCTTTTTGCTTTCTAATTATGTCAGAATTTAAATAAAGCATCAGAGAGTTTTGGAAATGTACAATTGCGTTTAGATAGTTATTTTATAAAATACAAATCTAGAGTGAAAACAATTTCAACAGCAATTTCAGTGGTGAACACTCAACCACAGTGATTGAGAAGTGTTTATTTGTTGTATATTGAATTTTTTAGAAGTAAATGGCTTTGACTGGGCGAATTATGTCTAAAACCAGTTCATTAGATGAGCACACAAATTGGCTTCATGCTACTCCTATTAAGCTTGCCAGGAAGAGAGAGTTAAAGAATACCCATAGGCTGGCTGTCGAAACTTAGAAGAGCATCCTGTTGATAGAAGGTTTCTAGTATCAATTGACTATAGTTTCAGTCATTAAGAATGCGGAAATAGACTTTAAATTCCAAATGTCTAAGAGCAAAAGAAGTTGTTAACCCAAGGAGTTAAGTGTTTGAACTAGGTGTGTAAACCTTCATTTAATGACTAAAGGAGGACTACAGCACTGTAATCAGCGAGTTAAGAGAAACCACAGACAGGCGAGGCTAGTGGGTATTCCTCTTTTGTTTAGCAAGATGTATTTCTTAGGGTGTGAAAACACATTTCTAGGTGATGTCCTTCAGAACCAAACTTTGCTGGGGTAAGATGCTTTTATGGTGAATAAAATGTACAACTCCAGTTAATGTGAATTCAGAATGAACTATGTGAGACAAATTGCATGGAGGCTGTTTTTAATCTTGAGAACTTAAATGTAATTGGTGGTATCTGCAGGGCTATATAAAAGGGTGAGATTGCTTTCTGTCTCAGTCACTTAGTGCATGGCTTGTTTTTAAGTTGCAGCACATTCAGGTTTCATTCTTTAGTTTTAGAAAAACGCTTTTATGGCTGAAGTGCTATTTAGAAGCTAAATATAGTGAATCATAATAGTATTTTAGTTAAGATGAAACTATCTTTGCTGAAAACTCAGGCACAAGTGAGTATAAACTTTCAGCAGTTGATATACTGATAGCAGTATCTTTTAAGCTTGATGTGTTCATGGGAAGAAAAGTCCACAACTTACATCAAAACAAAAACAAAAACAGCCAAAAGATACCACCTTATATGCTGAACATCAAAAGCTTACCTACAAGAAGAAAAACAGGCAGATACTGAGGCTGATACAGCAGACCCTTCCTGTTTAGACCACAATCCACAACTCATTTCCAAATGGCTAGTTTCAAGTGAACAGATTTCTCAACCATAAAAACCTTTTTAATACAGTTCTGGAAAGTAGTTTCCCCAAAAGGGTTTAGTTGAGCCCTGCTTCATTAGCATGAATAAGGAGAAATGTTCTGTGTGTTGGAAGGTCAAGACCACATGAGCCAGGGAAGGTCTACTGTAGGTGGGGTCTAGCCTTGAGGGTGAGCATACACAGCGAGGAGCAGAACTTGGGTCAAGTTTTTAGTGAAAATTAGCTAAGTCAGTGTGAACCTCTGTCAGGGGTAAAGTAGCCGGACCATGAGACACCCTCCCTCCTTCGCATCTTCTCAGCAGCCATGAAACTACTTCTGCAGGGAAGAGGCCTCATTTCGAGTTTTTGCAGCTTTTCTAAGTCTGACCAGGTAGAAAGTGAGAAATGTCCTTATTAAATGACTTGAGCTAGTACTATTTCCTTCCATTTATGTTCGTTCATAGTAAGAAAGTATATTCTGCAATGAACTGGAGATAGACCTCTTACTTGGGGGACAGTTCTCTAACAAATACCTTACTGAGGTCATGAGCCACATCTGGAGCGTGGAGGAGCCAGTGTCTCAGCCCTTCTTGCTTTTCAGTGTTTGAAAATACTGCTAGAAGCAGCTGATTCTCTTGCAAAGTTGTCATGCTGTTACTGCACTCAACTTGCCTTTAAGGGAGTGTTGTTTTCTTCATGTAATTCACGACTCGGTTAGGTCTCATTGACAGAGACCCTCCCCCCAAATGTTCCTGTACAATCCTCTGCACCTTCATGGAGAAGTCTCTTGGAGATGCTGAGGTTGGGTCCTAGGCACTGACCCCCAACTGAAGCCCCTCAGGACTTGGTAGCTGGTAGTGGTGGAGGCAGGGCAGCTGCTTTTCCTTCCTGACTTCCCTCCTTGGCTAATGCATAGCGCCTGACTTTTCTGGGTTCAGGCTCTGGTATCTCTTCAGCCCATCTTCCCACACGGTGCACACCTTTGGCCACCTTGGGTGCGTTCCTGCAAGGATTGTGGTCATAGATGACCAGCTTCAGACTGGACAGGTGAGCCAGGCTGGGAAAGTAGCGGATGTTGTTCCGGTCCACATCGATCACCTCCAGGAAGGGCATATGAAGCAGCACAGGAGGGAAGTCAGTCAGCAGGTTGCCTGAGAGCCAGATGGTCCTCAGCTCCCGGAGGTGTCGGAGCCGGCTTGGCAGCAGGCGCAGGGCATTGGAGCCTGCATGCAGAGTTTTCAGGAGACTTAACTCGCAGACCACGTCTGGCAGCTGGGTGAGACAGTTGGCCTCCACCCACAGGGTCCGCAGATTCTGGAGCAGGTTCAGCTCCTCAGGGAGGTCGCAGAGTTTGTTGTTGCCCAGGTAGAGGATACAGAGCTGCTTCAAGGTGCACACCACCTGGGGTAGGGCCTTGAAGTTGTTGAAATCCAGGGCCAGGATCTGTAGATTCTGCAGCTGTGCCAGCTCCGGAGGCAGGCTGTTCAGGTGGTTGTCACTCAGGTAGAGCTTGACCAGTTCCCGGAAGGAGCACACGAGCACGGGGAAGCGGCGCAGCTGGAACCCACTGAGATCCACCATCTTGTCCAGCGGCATCTCCCGGAGGTTTCCAACCATGTAGTTCTGGCAGCGTTCAGCAGGGATGAAGGCCAGGAGCGCCCTAATGATGTTCCCCATGTGGAGGCCAGAGCCCCAGCCCACCAACCTTGGGGTTGCTGCTGACTGTGGGGAGGTCCAAGCTCCCCTCCCATTATAACCTGGGGACTGCATGACAAAAGCCAGTCACTTCAACAGAGGAAAGTGCTCCTGATAGCAACAGGAGTGTCGGGTGACAGGCCCAACAGACAGGCAGGGTCCTGGAGGCCAGGTCTGACTCATACTTGATTTAAGCCACCTAAGTCCTAATCCCCTTTATCTACTTTTTTTTTTTTTTTTTCATTTCAATCTGAAAATAGCTTCACCGTTTTTTCTAGTGATAACATGTTGAGACATGATGTAAAGGTGTAAAAGAAATGAAAAACACCAGTAGTTGTACTACCAGTGTAAACATTTTAATGTAGACACAGCAGCCTTTCGGTTATCAATTAAAAAAAAATACTGTTAGGCATCTTGTGTGTGTGTGTGTGTGTGTGTGTTTGATCAAAACATACAGCAAATATCTGTGAATTTGCAGGTATGAGCACAACTTTTAAATTTTCACTATAATCATTTATTTTTACATCATTTTGTGACTTTTTCCATCTCAGTTGTAATCACCAATTTACCTGTGTGCCATCACAGTCCCGATGAGCACAATTATTTTAAACCTCTGCACAGTATTCTGTTGCATGGCTGTGCTGTATTTAAAGCAAGTCTATTATTAGATATCTTGGGGCTTATAATGTATCACTATTATTAATAATCTCGCAGATACAATTGTGAATAGATCCACACTCTTTCTTTCAGAAACATCTTTAGAAGTGTCACTGGGTCAAGACCTGTGTCTTTGACATTGCTCCTGTCCTTCTCCCACCAAATCTGAGCCAGTGTGTACAAGTCTCATGTCTGTTTTTTTCTTTCTTTGAAAAAATATTTATGCATACAGAATTGGGGTACAGGCCAGAGGTGCAGGGATGGTGAGAGGCTTCACCAGAGACAGAGTGGGGAGCAGAACAGGCCGACCGATGAAGCACACTGCTGAGGGGAGCAGCGGGTGAGACAGGAGAGGTCTGCCGTGCCATGTGGGTCAGCTCCCTGCCCGGGGATTAAACTCTGGTGGAGCTAGCTTCGTAGTGCTGCGCTTTAACCTGTTGCGCCTTAGGGAGGGTCCACGTATCCCTTTCTTATTTCTTCACTCTCACCAGGTAATAACGTCCTGCACTTTAAAGGCATGTCTTTGACAAAATACAGTAGAAAAACAGAGGAAAGAGGAGAGGAAGAGCGGTCTTCTCAAGCTTGTATCAGGATGTGTCGTTCCTGATGTGGCTCCAGCGTACCTGTCAGATGTGGTGGCTAACTGCCCAGCAAGGTTTGCACTTCCTTCCATAGTGTTGTGTCGCAGGAAGCAGCTGAGCAGCCAGGACATTGATTTCCTAGTGCTAGTCTCAGTGCTAGACAACTAGCGGAGTCTAATTCTGGCCAGTGGAATGTGGGCAGAAGTGTGATGTGTCACATTAGGCCTGGCTCATCCAAATCAAATGTCGCCTTCCTTCACACCTTCCCCCTCTGCTGGTGGATATTCACACCCAGGGTGACCTTAGTGGCCACAGCGAATATGTGGCAGTCATGTGTTGTAGTTGGCAGACCTTGGGCATCTGAACACCTCCCCCTCCCCACACATAACACCCTACCACCAGATGGAGTTAGGCCTGTGAGAAATATGCTTTCGTTATGTTAAAGTCATGGGGATCTGGGGTTTATCTATTTCCATTATCGTAATGAATTAGAGCGGTTGTTCAAGATGAAGAAAATCTACACACGGATATGCAAAAGTATTTAAAATACATAAAAAGAGAAGAAAAAAGCAAGTTCAGAACAGCTTTTTATGATCCCACCTGTGGAAAAAAATATTTTATAGTCACATATATGCATATAAGTACCTGTAAGAAAGAATAGAGATTATCTCTGGGGAATCTGTCTAACGGCTTGAGGGGATAAAGTGCTGACTTCCCATTTACACTCTTGTATGATTTCAATTTTTTAAAGGTTTATTTATGCATACAGAACTGGGGTACAGGCCAGAGGTGCTGGGGTGGTGAGAAGATTCATCAGAGAGAGTGGGGAGCAGAATAGGCCGACCGACAAAGTACACTGCTGCAGGGAGCCGTGGGCGGGTCAGGAGAGGTCTGCCGCACCACGTGGGTCCCCTGGGCGGGGATCGAACTCGCACTGAAGCGGCTGCGGCCAGCTTGCAGTGCTGCATCCTAACCCTTTGCACCACCAGGGAGGGCCCTGAATTCATTTTTTAAACAATCTGTCAAACCACCTGTTACCTGGATAGAGTTTGTGGGTTTGGGGGATTCTCTACTGCTCACTTGCTGATGGCAGACTGAACAGAACAATAGAAGAGCATTCCCCCCTCCATGGCCATTCTGCCGGAGCCAGGTGGTTGGGCAGCGTCACCCCCACCGTGCCCCTCGAGACTGAACCCGCTGTCCTTGGCCTTCCTACAGCTTGACCGTCAAGGTCTGCTATCTTGAGCTCTCTCCTTGCTTTGCTGATTTGTACCATAATCATGATCCGCTCAATAGGGGCTGTGCTTTGCTTCTATATTTAGCGTGGCCAATGGTGACCACAAATGGTCATGAAGCAGCTGCTCTGGCATTGTCCTTAGAAATGAAAACAGTATTGGGGGGTTACACGTCAGCACTATGAAGCTGTCTGCAGCTGCTTCAGTGTGAGTTCGATCCCCTGCCGGGGCGCTGACCCACATGGCTCAGCAGACCTCTTCTGTCTCTTGCTGCTCCCCTCAGCAGTGGATTTCAGTCAGTCGTCCTGTTCTTCTCCCCACTCTGTTCTACCCCCAGCTCTTGTATGTGTAAATAAATAAATCTTTTTGAAAAAAGAAAAGCCGTATTTAAAATATTTTTATTTTAATGAATTACTTTTATTTATAATTATTTGTAACAGATCTGCTGGGCACTGGCACCCCACCAGAGTTTTACATCTATTATCTGTTAGCTAAATATTTTTTTAGCCTCATTTTCCAGATGAGAAAGTTGAGACACAGGAGGCTTAATAATAATATGGAATTTGTGTCGAGCACTCGCTTTGCCCTAGCTGCAGGGAACATGTGACAAGCAAGGACCCTGACCTCACAGGAAGCACGGTTCTGTGTGAGCACTTGGAAGGGCTGCAGGGGCCGTGGGGGTCAGGTGTGTGTGGTCGGGGCAGGGGCTTATCCTGGAGTGAAGCCACAAGTGGGTGAGCTGCCTTCACACACAGCCTCCACCCCCTCATCTTCACTGGCTCCTTATCTGCACATCTCAGCTTAATGAGCATTTTCTTGAAGATGATCTCCTAAATTTGTTAGGCTATTTCCAGTTTTATCAATTTGCAATTGTGAATTTCTTTTTCCTTTTTAAAGATTTATTTATTTATACAAGACTGTCGGTAGAGCAGAGACTCTTATTTATACAAGAGCTGGGTGCTGGGGGTGAAAGGATTCATAGAGACAGAGCAGGGAGCAGAACAGGCAGATCCACTGAAATACACTGCTGAGGGGAACAGCAGATAGGACAGGAGAGGTCTGCCGGGCCATGTGGGTCACATCCCTGGCCGGGTATCGAACTTGTGCTGCAGTGGCTGGTGATAGCTTGATAGTGTTAAGACTTAACCCCTGTGTCACCAGGGAGTCCCTCGCTCACTTGCTTTTGAATGGAGAGTGGCACTGGTTCCGTTTTGCCCATCTCAGGTGTCTTTCAGACAGTAGGCCTCAGCATAAATGCTTTGCTCAATCCTGCCTCATCCCAGTCCCACTGATGGGGAGGAGTCTCACTGATGGGAGGAGTCCCACTGATGGTGAGGAGTTCCCATTGATGGGAGGAGTCCCATTGATGGGGAGGAGTCCCACTGATGGGGAGGAGTCCCACTGATGGGAGGAATGCTATGCAAGGGTCCCCTTGCAAGGGTCCCAGACATGGTCTCTCAAGATCTGAGTTTGAATATCTCTAATTGTATGAGCTTAGGCAAACTGTTTAACTTCTTATTCCTCCTTCCTCTTACTCAGAAACAGGTTGGGCCAGGTGGTCTCTAAGGGTCTCCACCAAGGTGGGCAGCAGGGACTTCCTAGCCCCTGACTTTGGAGTCACCAACTGTTGATTGCTGAGCTCTGAATGTAGGAGGTGGTGATAAATGAGGTGGCGAATGTGCTTGAGAAAAACGTTGCTGTTTTTACTCAGCTTAAATTCTGGGCCATTAAGTCAAGATGGCAAGGACTTGACCTAACACTCCTTTTGTGGATCCACCCCAAAGAAACATAGAGGAACCAGCATGACAAATGGAAAGAGACAGCATGGGCCTGGATTCAGAAATGCTTGTGCTTGCTTGCTCTGTCTGCCAGTCACTTGGGTAAGCTAAGCAACTTTCCTAAACCTTCATTTACTTACCTATAAAATTGGCTTAATAATACCTATCACCTGGGATTGTCCTGCAGGCCATAAGTAGTTAAAGTTTCTGGCTAGTAGAAGGGGCTAAAAAATGGTTCAGATAAACCTTTGATTAATGGTGTTATTCTGAGGTATTGGGCTTCGATTATCCCTCCGGGGTCCTCGCTCTCAATTCCCGAGCACTTTCTGGATTTCAGGTTGGCATTGGGAAGACCTAACACTGGGCCAACTCTCTATCCATGCGACTCAACGGCCACTTCCCCAGTTCTGCTCACTTGCGATATGAAAACATAAATTAACCCTATGGTCTTCTAAGCAGATCTTTGCACCTTTACAGCAAAACAGCTTTGTATTGACCTTGGATAATATTCTTTGAAATGTTGGCACGACTCTATTGTTTGAGCCATAGCTTACAGCATCTTATATCCCTTTCTGTGGGGCAAAAAGTGATATCTCACTAGGTCCCCCCAGCTGGGAAATGAGTTGGCGTTTACCGGTGCTTGGATAAACGCTCTAGAGGTGGTCCACACACCTGGAGGAGCAGCTTGAAGCCAGGGAACCGGCACAGGTGACTCATGTTCATTGACTGCC